AATATTCTGAATGAAGGCGAAAGTGATTTTTAAAGTCTGAGAAATAAAATTCAGGCAGGTTCTCTGATTTTTTTTTTTATAATAGAATTCAGCTGAGTCAGAGAATTAAGACTCATCTTTCAGTGTTTAAATTTCTCTTGTTTTTGAAAATATAACTGAAGAAATATAATAATGAAAGCACATTTTGATTTCTTATACTTATCTGAGAGTGCATTTATTGGTGTATTATGTATGATAGATAAAGAGTTCTCAAGGCTATGTATATTTTATTACTACACAGATCTTTTCATATGAGAGTGGTATGAAACCAACGGTGCATGAATAGTCCCAGTGTGATGATACTGGAGAACTAATCTGACACCAGCTGTGAGTGTTGAGATGCAGTATTATGGCTACAAGAGAACAAATGTGCAACCAGATTCGTGTGTGTATTCTGGGCATTATGAAGAGGTAAAAGCAGATGAGAAAAGAAATTGTTCATGTGTAGTTCAAATATTCTGGTAATGGGAAAGATGGTGGGAAAGCAGGTATTGCAGATAAGTCCCAGCAGTATAGTAAATGGACACCTGACACGTAAATAGCTGTGCGTGGATAGCTCCAATTAGGCGGCAGATGCCTTGGAAGAGGCATAGGGATAATTCCTTTACTGTGTAGAAGTTAATTTTCTCACCATCGCTTATTCTAGAAACATTATTAAGATGAATAAATGTGGAAAGTTTCAAGTTTTTAAGGTTTGTCAATATTTAATAAAGGTACTTGAAGAAATGTTATCCAACTAGTCCAACATTTCAAAAACAAGTCTCTTACAGTGAACATGATAAAAACAAGTAACTATCACTTAAAACATCACAAAAACTTCAGTCCTGCCAATTCAATAAGCAGGAGGAGTTTGGGAAGGAAATATTTTAGTTTTCAATTCTCCTATTTAATTGCATTTTTCAATTCAACCTTAGACCTGGAATCATAATTGTGGCTTTATAATTATTGCTGCCTAAACTCTAAATTTGAAGTGGATAAAAATGAAGTTTGTTCTAGTACAAACTCTTGGCTAAATCCATAATTACAGTTCAGCTGATGACGCACTCCTAAAGTATGCTCAACCAGTGCATTGGGGGGAGGTAGGCTGGTTCAGTGATTAGGACACTTGCCTTTGGCTCAGGAGACCTGGTTCAAGTCCTTGTTCAACCACAGATGTTGTGTGTAAACTTGAACAAGTCACTTAGTCTCTCTGTGCCTTTGTTCCCCAACTGTTAATGGAGATAAAAGTACCTCACTACCACAAAAGAGTGTTGTGAGAATAAATACATTAAGGATGGTGCGGTGCTCAGATACTATGGTAATGGGAGCCATATACGTGCATAAGGCAGAATGCTGAAGGCCTCCTAAAGGTAGTTCAGCACATTTCCTTCATTTAAGAAAAATACAGTATGTAGGAGAAAAGATGTGAGGCTAAAGAAACAGTAGGGGAGAGAAGAAAAGGAAGACATGTAGGGAGAGGAGAGAAGCCAGGTGGAGGCAAGAGCTGGTGAGTGAAAATGCAAGGGAATAAGGAGGCAAGAGAAGTGGATTAAGAAATGGGTGAAGAAAAAGGGAAAGTGCATGAAGAAATGGGGACTGAGAAGAGACTCCTACTTTGAGACAAACTTCCCACATGACTACAACTTGTAGGGCAGTTATCTTACTTCGGCAGCACAGTATTACTATTAATCCTATCTCTTCACACAGATAAAAGGGAGACGGAACAGCTAATGTAGAACTGTTTATATTAGATTCCTGAGAGGAAGAATTTAAACCGAAAAAATGTGAATGATAATTGGGAATTGTTTAAGAACGCTTACTCGAGGCACAAAAAGCCACAATCCCCTAATCGGGGAGGAAGGCCATATTGGTTAAGAAAAAACAACAGCACCTGGTTTACAGGGGAAGAGGGGAAAAAATAACATAACAAATGGAAGAAAGGGGAAATTGATACTAATGAATATAAACCAGAAAACTGTAGTTGTACAAAATTGATAAGGGAAGCAAAGGGACACAAGGAGAAATCTATGGCCAAGAGAATTAAAGTCAATAGGGAGTAGCTTTTAAAGTATATTAGGAACAAAAAGAACCCTAATGGTATTGGTCCATTACTAGATTGATATGTTAGCATTATCAATAATAATACAGAAAAGGCAGAAGTATTCAATAAATATTTCTATTCTGTATTTGGGAAAAAACAGATTATGTAGTCATGTCATATATGTTAACACTCTGTCTATACCATTAGTATGTCAGAAAACAGCAGCTTCTAAATTCAGCAGATCCAAATCACTCACATCTGAGAGTTTTAAAAGAGCTAACTGAGGAGTTCACTGGAGTGTTAATGGTCATGGTTTTCTGTGGAAGTTCCAGAAGTCTGGAAGCTAATGTCGTACCAATATTTAAAACGGGTAAATGGGATGACCCAGGTAATTATAGGCCTGTCAGCCCAACATCCATCCCGGGCATGCTAATGGTGCAGCTGATATGGGCCTCTCCCAATAAAGAACTAAAAGAGGGTAAAATAAACAATGCAAATGAACATGGGTTTATGTAAATCAGAGCTTGTTAAACTGATCTGTTATCTTTTTTTGATGAAATACAAGGTTGGTTGATAAAGGTAATAGTGTTGATGTAATAGACTTAGACTTCTGTCAGGCAATTGACTTGATACTGCATGATATTTTGTTTAAAAAACTTGTATGATATAAAATTAGCACAGCACATATTAGATGCATTAAAAAGTTGGCTAACTGATAGGTCTCAAAATGTAATTGTAAACTGGGAATTGTCATCAAATGGGTATGTTTCCAGTGATATACTGCAGTTCTTGTCCCTATGCTAGTTAACATTTTTGTTAGTGACCTGGAAGAAAACAAAATAATCAGTGATAAACTTTGCAAATGACACAAATATTAGGGAAATGGTAAATAATGAAGAGGACAGGTCACTGATACAGATCGATCTGGATTTCTTGGAAAGCTGGGTGCAAATAATGTGTTTTAATATGGCTAAATGTAAATGTAGAGATCTAAGAACAAAAAAATGTACGCCATAGAGATGCTCTAGGAATTATTTTAGGAAGTTCTATGGCCTGTGTTATAGAGGAGGTCAAACTAGCTGATCACAATAGTCCATTCCGGCCTTGGAATCTATGAATCTAGTGCAAAAGATATTGGTTGCACAGCTGTGTTAAATTATTTTCATGCTTCTGCTGGAGAGGAACCCACTGCCTTTTGTTAAAAATAACTGATGCAAAAATAACTTTTGATGGTTTTTCAAATCACATGTAGAATGAAAATTTACTGCAAATATTTCCAGAGGTGCTCATCACCAGTATCAGAAGGGTGCACCATGATTCTAAGCACTGGCGAAACCTCTTTGCTTCAATTAGCAAAGTTGTAGATGGAGCTGGGCAGTTTGTAGCAGCTGACTTGTTACTCCAAGTGTAAAATTTCATGGAGGGCCCAATCCTGAGAAAAAAATTACAGCCTAAGGAAAAGGCTGCTCTCATGTGAAAACTTCATTATGTCCCAGCTTCCAAAGTGAAAGCAACTCCCAGATAGTCTTCAAAGTTGGGCTGCAAGTTGAGATAGTAGCTACTGTAAGTTGAGATAGTAGCAGATGCTACCTTCAGCACCCCCAACCGCACAAATTATTATTGTTCACAGACCAACCAACCATTTCTTTGGCATGTCCCATATTTCCTTTTCCATGATACTCTACAAACACCTGCCATACAAGTCTCCTCTATGGATAAATATGATGGTGCAGTCTCCTTACATGCTCGCTTACTGGATTCTAATGGTTAACTGACACTATGACTTGCCTCATTGTTGTGACTGGATATGGCATGTGTGTGCACATGCATGCCCACTTTTCTTTTTTCTGAATTGAAGGAATGAGAGAAGGGTTTGCTTCTGCTGCATTCAGAAACTGCTCATGTTGAGCTTATTGCTTTAATTATTATGCAGGAACTATTATCCAAAGAAAAAGGACAAGTTTGTGTTTCCCCAAATCAAAGTGTTTTTCACGCTCCATTTCTTTAATGCATACTTATATTGTATTCCATTTAAATATTAAACAGTTAAGCTTAGTGGTAAGAAGATTAAATATCCTGATCCTGCACGATTTGGAAAGCATTGTTCATCAGTAGATTAGTTCAGCAGTACAGTTGATTTATTCAACAAATGAGCAACGAGGGCTTTGTGTGTGTTTTGCTCTAAAACAAGAATAAATAGCTCTCTTAAGAAACCCCAGCATTAAACAATACCAAAAAGAATAGGTTACAGGATTTTTCATAATTTTATACACAGACACCAACATGTTTTGGGTTGTGAAGCATTATCATTAAATAACATGCAGAATTTAACCATTTTCTTGCAGAATCTTTTACAAATGTACAGAATTTTCACAGATATAATCAAGTGCTAAATGGGGTGGGGAAGAGCTTCTCTCACTGCTCATTGAACTTAGTGGTGCCAGTTGATCAACTTTTTATCTGGCATTTCCCTCTTTTATCCACTATTCACCTGATTTTTGCCTAGCACTTTCTCTGCTGTCTTCCCAGTGTCCCTCTCACTTCTCTGCACAGCACACTGCTTCCCTGTTCACCTTCTGACTGTTTGCATGACCCCTGCTTTAATGTTTGCCTGATGAGTCCCCTCCTGCAGCACGACATGCTATTTAGAATTTATTGACTGCTTCCTCCATTTTTTACTTAATTGGTATTTCATTAAAAAAAAATCTCCAATGAGAAACCTTTTCCAGATGCCTGTTTGGAGCCAGATCCTGCAGACTTTTACTCATGTAAGTAGTCTTCACTCAGATGGAACTACTTCAATGACTACTGATGTAAGAATTACTCAGTAAGAGGGGGCAAATTCTGAAGGATCATACCCTTGTTGAGCAATGCATTGTAAGGTAAACACCACAAAATTCCTTGTGCATGCTGCAGGGTGCGGTTTGTATAGATCACCCACCTGTCAAATAGCTCCCCTCCTGTGACCAACTCCAGAACAAGACTGATTTCTGTGGGGGTTTCAAATATCTCCTTCAGTTTTATCTGGGAAAAGATACCAAACAGAGTAATTATTTTCTGATTTCTCTCTTCAACTGAGTCCATGCACTGTACAATAGACTACAACTAGGGGACTGTAGTGAAGTGGAAGATGGTACTAACAGTGATTACATGATTCACACTCAGATCAGTTAAGCAATTTATTGTAAGTATTGTTTATGGCGCTTAATTATTTCTTTTTTGCTTCTTTTTATCTCCTCTGGGATCCCTCTTTCTTTCATCCCTACACACTCACCTTTCATAACTCAGCAACCCTTTCTCAAATGCAGGAAGATTAGAGACTGCTTTAAGGCCCATCAGCACCTCTTCATGAGTCTTACAGAGGAATTCCCTGAAGACAAACGCAAGGCTTTCCCTCCCCCCAGGGACTAACAACCATGACATCACCAGCTGGTTCTATTTATCCCTTTTCTGCCAGGTTCCCCTTTAAGCAAAAGGCTTGTTTTTGTAAATTCTCTCTCGCTACTTGGCAGAAACTTTAATAATTTACTTTAAAATGTAACTCTGACCCAATGATCTTAGATAAAAACCCAGATCTTTAATCAAAGCCTCATATATTAGCATACAATGTGAGCTATAAAGATCAATACTGCAGTCTCAGAAACTGAATACATTGTTAATGAGAGGAAACAGTGAAATACTGTAAAAAAACCCACTTACAATGTTTGGATGTGAGAGGCGAAGGAGAACACCTATTTCAGTTCGGACAATTTTCTTGTCTACCTAGTTAAAAGAAAAAAAAGATGTGAAATGTGACTGCAATACTCATCTGAGAAACATCTGACGGCATTACAGGAAAATGTCCATGAGCAGATTGCTAGATTTCTTAGGAGAATGATTTGTGTCTCTTGCACTGAAGTCTAACAGGTAATTATGGAAGAGAATGAGAGTTTGCCCATGCTCTGGAATAATGTACATTTTCTCTCTAGAACATTCACATTGTTGCAAGCCCATGCAAGACAGCAAACATATGAAAGACAAGCCTGAAAAAGAGGCTAGAGATTGTATTTGCTATTCTGTCCCTGTGCATCTCCATTACACCAGGGGATGAATGTGGCCCAAAATGATGTGTTTAACAGTGTCTGTCAGGTTAGTCGGGAAGGAAAGGATTCTTCATGCTTAGGTGGCGTTTATACGTTTGTGGTATATTTTGCTATAAAATTAAGAGGTGAATGTAAAGGATGTTATTTCCCTGTACGGGGCACACAACCCTCAGCCGGAGCCCAAAGCAAGGTGTAAGGTTTGACTTGCTTCAGAGACACCTCTAAAGCAAAGGTATATGGGTGCACCTCATTTCAATTAAATTCTGAGAAGGACCCTCCTCCCATTTGCTGCTCAACAACCACTCTTCCAAGATCTTGTCTCTTACTCCAGATTCAGTTTCCATCTCCCCTGCAGCAAATCTCACTTATAGTAAAGCTGAGGGCCAATTCTCCACAGCTGGTCCAGCTCTACTGCACAGCAGGGTCGTTCACTCAGGATGACAACTGTGCTCCTACTAGCCATAGGAAGAGGGTTAACCCCTTCCAGGTTTGGAGAGGGTCTGTGTACCCCATCATACTCAGGTACTGAAGTGCATGAATGAGTGAATGAAAAAAAACTTGTTAAGTTTGAAAACATGTCATGACGTTTATTTTATTTATTTAGCTAAAGTAATCAGTAAGTTGATGGAGGAACTGTCCTTGTAACAGATACTTTCATAAAATGAAGGATTCCACCCTCAAATGCATTTCACTATTCTTGTACAGGCCTTCAGAAATGATAGCTTTTCCATTTCCTAGCACAGTTTGTAGAAATACTTTTGTGACAACTATTTTTTTTAAATGCATGGTCCTGTTGCGTTAGCTATCCTGCAGAGAGGGAATGGTTTTTGTTTGTTTGTTTTGTTTCACACAAGAACTCAATGTTATCCAAGGGAATTCACCCTGTAAGGTAGAAAATTGGCTGACGAACAAGTGGAACTTTATACTCAAGATTTATGCCTGTACTGCGGAGGCATATTCTTGAGTACTTATCATGATTGTGGCTAGAAAGTAAGAAACAAATGTTTTAAAAAGCCTTCATGTTATACAAGCAGGATATCATTTGGAAAGAGGCAGCACTCTGCTTAAACACAAGCTTCGTAAATTTTTACCTCGATTGTAGGGAAACATTTTGCTTCGATGGGGAACAAATACAACAGTTGTTTTTCCAGTGACAACAAGCTTCAAATATTTTTCATTTTCAAAATTACAACAGAGATATAAAGCTCAATTCTCCTCTCACTTACATACGTGTAAATCAGCTGGAGTCTATGGTGTGACACTGGGGCGAAGGTGGTCTATGCAAGTACAGAATTAGACCTGTCGTCCTTCCTTGAAACTGCTCATTTTAGTTTGCTCTGACAGGAGACCAAAAAAGAAGAGCAACCTTGAAGAGACACTGAAGGGGTTCCCTTGTCCGACCAGCACGAAGAGGCAAAAATGAAAAGGGACTGAAATAGTCGAGTGAAAATGCTGTGTGGACTTCGCTGTAAAGTTGCTTCATAGTAGCAAGCCAGATAAATGTCAGTAAAGGTAATCAACTGAGACTACTCACAGAACGTGTCAATCAAACTGACCTCAAAGTATAAGTCCTCCCAAAGACCCACACTGCATTGGAAGCAACATCTTTGTACTCATGTTCTGATTGTGCCCCCCTTTAAAAAAAAAAAAAAGTAGGGAGCTTATCATCCCGGCACAGGCCATGCAGGCTTATGCCATAGCAGAGACTAGGGATACTGGGTTATACATGTGGCAGTTTTCATCACTATTGAATTATGGGCATCTAGCTTCTGGTTTTGAATCCCACTTCCTTCCTACATGTTAACAAGTATATCAAAACATTGACGTGGTGATGATATTCTCATCCGATGCTCCTTTCTAGTAAGTGGCCATGTGTGGATGGAGTGAGGTGTAGCTGGCATCATTTCCTGGCTCCTGAAGACAGTAAACATCATGTCTTAGATCTTGACTTTTCTTGTTTGTCCTTTAGAAATAGCTTTTTCAAATTCTAGCAGTTGGCATATTTAACTCCTATGAAAGTTGAAAGATTGGATTACTACATTTCAAAGCTGGAAATAGGAGTAATGTGGTCTAATGATAATGCTATGTGATGCCAAGCAGAACACAGAGATTGATTCTAGTTGAAACAATCTCCATAAAAGTTTGGAGAGTCAGATAAGAAGGAAAGAAAATGGGACTGTGACACCTCCAGGTGCACTTACACTACTATTGTGAAAATCATGGGAGGTTAAGTGAAATGGAGGGTGTAATGGGATCCCTGGGGTGCAGCCTGGGACTGAGAGACCACTGTGCCCCCTTAACTCTCCAGCCTGGGCTGTCTCTCACAATGCTTTGCTAGTGACCAGCAGAAAACCCCTCCAGGTACTGTTACCACTTTGCTGGAGAATGGCTGGTGATGTCTGTTCAGCACCCACCCGGGCGTTGGTTACCTCCCTTGTCATTGTTTCTGGAAAGCTAGTATCTGGGTGCTTCCCAAACCCACAGCATATTTTAGTGAAAACTATACAACACAATTCTTATAATTTTATATAAATTAATGATACATATGTTTAGATGGAACAATGGGTTTCAGCAGATCATAATCTTTCCCCTGATACCTCACATGACATGCTTTATATGCAATATCACAATTATATATAGATGAGGAATATGGGGGTTACAGGGTGCTCCCCCGAAGTATAGTGTGTCACAGAGGGTCCATAACCAAACTTTCCTAAACTTCGAAGATATTGGCTCAGTTTGAAATGTCAGATTACATTCTTTCTCACAAGTGGCATGCCCTCTCAGGCTGTATACTCATCTCCACAATGAGGGGAGCTTCTTGTTGCTCAAGAAGAAGCATTACCTGAACAATAAATAGTTTTGTTAGCATTAACCGATAGATTTCAAAAAATAATTGTAAGTGGTGAAATGCCATTGAAAGGAGGTGTTTTTAGTGTTGTGCTGCAGGGAACTGGTCTGAGCTGATTATTATTCAATATCTTTATCAATGATTTAGAGAAATATATAAAACCAGTGCTGGCAAAATTTGCAAAATTACAAAAAAAATTGGTGGAATGGTAAATCATTAAGGGGATAGGTCAGTTATATAGACCAATCAGGATTGCTTGATTAGATGGACTCATTTGAACAGCATACTTGTTAACACAGTCAAACGCAAGATCATACACCTAACAATAATATATGTGGGACACACGTATAAAATGAGAAACTATATTCTGAAAAGCAGTGACTCTGAAAAGGACTTTTGGGTCATGGGAGACAATCAGCAATCTTGTAGCTCAGAGGGTGAATGCAATCCTTGGATATATAAGCCAGGGAATATGAAATAGAAGTAAGGAGGTAGTATTACTTCTGCATTAGTGAGGCCATTGATGGAATATCATGTCCAGCTCTGGTGTCCACTTTGCAAAAAGAATGTGCTCAGAAACAAGCTACAAGAATGATTTGAGGTCTGGAGAATAAAGCTGTATTGCAAGAAACTAAGAGTATGTCTGCATACCAGCTGGGAGGTATAATTCCCCAGGCAGACATGCACACACTGGCTCTGTTCAAGCTAGCCCACTAAAAATAGCAGTGTGGCTGGGCAGGAGGTGGGACAGGCAGCATGGGCTAGCCACCCAAGTATGTATCTAGGACCTCAGACGGGGGTCGCCTGAGCCACTGCCCATGCCATCTTGGGCACATACATATTTTCAGTGAACTAACTCAAGCAGAGCTAGCTTGTGTATATCTACCCAAGCTGGGAATCATACCTTCCAGCTGCTGTGCAGAAATATCCTTAATAAGCACCAACTATTTGGAAGAAAGGTTACCAGGTGACTTGATCATGGTCTACAAATACCAACATGGGGAAGAGATTTCTAACAGATGGCTCTTTCATCTAGCAGAAGAAAGCATAACAAGATTCAATGTTATAAATAAGTCAAAAAAAATTAACAGAGGGAGCAATTAACCTCTAGAACAACTTAGCAAAGTTTGTGGTGGATTCTTCATAATTGAAATCCTTAAAGCAAGACTTTATATCGTTTAAAAAGCTACCCTATATCTCAAACTGAAGGTATGGGCTTGATATAGAAATTACTGGGTAAGGTTCTATGGCCTGTGTTATGCAGGATGTCAGACTAGATGATCATGATGCTCCCTTCTAATCTTAAAATCTATGGATACATAACATTAATGAATCTAAATCCCAGTGGTGCAAAGCCTTTTTAGTACAAAGTATTTAGTACAAAGGGCCATCACAGCCCTATAAAAATTACAAGTATTTCTAGTATTATAAAGTCAGTAACTTCGCATTCAGTGAGTGTATTAAGTATGTACACTAGACATCTTTTAGGACTTTCAGGTAAGGCAATCGCCTATTTTCCTGTGAGCTGTAATAAAAACTAAGTGGCTGTGACTGTAAATACTAAGTATGGGCATAATCCTGCAAACCATTACTCAAATGAGCAATCCCTTGACATCAATGAGGCTACTCATGTGCGTAAAGATTACCTGTGAGAGTGAAGATTTGGAGGATCAGGCTTTAAATACTTACTAGATTCTCAAAGTCAATTCCTTCCGGCTAGAAAGGTTTAAGAAGATTGATGAATTCCGGACTTGTTTTCATACTCTCTGTAAAATGTCTGTCTAACCCAGTAGGTATCAAGCAAATGAATTCAAAATATTGCACAAGGC